GGAAAAGATCATCACCTCTACGACTCTCCATAGACCATAGACGGTGATGGGAGACTCGTCATTCAGCTGCCGACAGCCATGACGTAGTGATAAGAGGAGATCGGCGTATCCAAGGCTGGCCCAGCTATAGGATCCTGTCTCATGGATCCTGACCAGAGCGGGGAGGTAGCAAAGGAGTACACGTGAACTCCTATCGGGAGAAAGGGTCATAGAGATCAGGATCAGGATGAAAATCCGCACTCGCTGCTCAGCCGTCGTATCGTCGAAGCCACGAGCTAAAACTGAAGCCAGCTCCGATCGTCCGCTCCTAGGACCACCTCAAGACCACCGGTCGGGACTTGATGTGCTGAACGATCGGACCCAACAAATCAGCTGTCTCAGCCGATCCCCAAGACATATCAGACATCTGAGCTACATCCCGGTCGGTGAAGCGCAGCCCGCTGAACATACTGAAGTCTAGGGGGTTACCGTCATCTCCCCCCAAGCAAAATGAAAATTGTTGGTAGTATCCCAGAAATACTCCAACAATGCGCGAACGACCGTCGCACCGCAACCCCGGGGGTTGCGAAACCCTACAACCACTGTATAGAAATCTACTAAACCAGCCGATTCCCATAGGGCGCTCGTAGCAGGATCCCTCGTAATGATCTGGTGAAGTCGAGGGATCAAATCGCCGGCTCCAGAACTGTGGTGGCGAAGCGTGCCATCGACTATGCCGGAGAGTGAGTGATGAGATACATGGTTTTCATGGCAGAAAACCAACTGATCTGGAGTCCACGGAGGTGGAACCCACCTACCTCTACTCGCGGATGCCCGAGGCTCGGACTCTAAAGCATCGTCGTCCATACCCTCAGGAATGGTGAGAGTGTCCTCCCGAAAATCCCGACGCCGGCCGAGGGTAGAAAGATCGCAATCTCGTCGCCTAGGCATGCTATTATAAAAATCTAAATACTTAGCATCATTTCCCAAGTTATTTAGTTATTATTGAATTATATGCTAAATTTTTACCTCCAGGCTAAAAATTGGAAAAATTATGGTATTTAGTTTCTCCATGACAAACTAATACTACAGTTCTCCTAGCCGCATGATACTATGGTCTCCATGACGATATAGTACATACGCAAAATATGTTTCGAAGTTGCACAAAAACAATAAATAAACACATCATGAAACACTTCACAAGATTTACCACCGTTTTTTCACCATTTCAAGTACAAAAGAAATAACATGAACATCATTTCACAAAGTAGTACCCAAAAATGGTGATTTGCTCAATTCTCCATCAAATCATGTATTTTTTTGTCTCAAATTTCTCACAAACACACATATATACATATACAAGTAAAATCATGGCAAGAATTTCACCATAAAACCTCAAAATTAAAAATCCCCAAATTGATTTTTGAGGGTTTTTCATGAAATTTCTTGAAGCAAAAATTAAGAGGAACTTACATAGATCCTTGTAGAGAGTCGAAAATGAGGAAGGAGGCAGAAAATTAGAGCAAAATTGGTGAAAATTTGAGCTCCAAAGGCTCGAAAAATTTGGAAAAAAAACCGCGCAGCCGCCGTGACACGATTGAGCTTGGCCGCTGCACGGTGAAAGGTTGACGTGTCACAGGGGCCTAGTCCCGTGTCACGACAATAACTGAAGTCGCCGAAGCTCCGGTGACTCAGTCAGGAACTTCGGACAACAGCAACAGCAGTAGGCAGCACGAAACAACAGCAGCAGCGGGTCGCAAAAAAATAAAAAAAAATGAAAGAGAAGAGGCAAACCGCCGTGACACGGTGGTGAACTCCGGTCGACGGGAAACAAAACCGGGCGCCGGTGATCTGTAGACAAGGCACGGCAAACCAAAAGAAAAAATTTTGAGTTTTTTTTTAGTGAGAATGGGACGAGGAAGAGAATGGCTAAAATGAAAAAATGTTGATATTTAAAATCAAGAAATCCCGTGCAACGGACCCCGTTCCCACGTAACGGTCAGATTTTTGTGTGGTGCAAAAGCTTTGACCGGTCAAAGATGCTCTTTTGACCGTTTTTCAGCCATTCGGTTCCCGTGACACGGGACCCCCTTGCCGTGTCACGAGAAGTAGCTCCGCGTGACGGGGGCCCCTGACCGTGTCACGGGAATATTTTCTTGTGAGACGACGTTTTTGTTCAAGTTATTTGCGAATATTCTGACATTTTGACTGAAGTTGCACGATTTCTTGCATAAATCGAACAATTATTTTTCGCTGAAATTACGCGGAAAATTCTAACTGATACTTAAAGGGGACTAACATTACCATTTTACCCCTGGAAAGCATCAAAGTCTATTTTTCGGCATTTTAAGCACTTAATATGGTCAGATAATCGGCTTAAAAGTGTGAATCATCTGCGGCCCACGTTCGGGGATAACTGAACCATCATACACTTACCAATTTCGGCAATCGTCGGCTTTCCTCAGGCTTGGAAAGCGTTATCGGTGGATTTTTCTTCAAGTATAGAAAACCGCCAAGTCGGCTTTCCTCAGGTTTGGAAAGCGTTATCGGTGGATTTTTCTTCAAGTATAGAAAACCGCCAAGTTGGCTTTCCTCAGGTTTGGAAAGCGTTATCGGTGGATTTTTCTTCAAGTATAGAAAACCGCCAAGTCGGTTTTCCTCAGGCTTGGAAAGCGCTATCGGTGGATTTTTCTTCAAGTATAGAAAACCACCAAATTCCTTTGTCGGCCTTCCTCAAGCATGGAAGGCATTATTGGTGAAATTCTTCAAGCATAGAATGACACCAAATTCGTTCATCAACTTTCCTCAGGCATGGAAAGTATTATCCGGTAGCTTTCTTCAGGCTTAGAAAACTACCAAACTCTTCAGTAGGCTTTCCTCAAGTATGGAAAGCGTTTCAACAAATGTCACTCGGTGGATTCCTTCAAGATTAGGAAGCTGCCAAATTCGTTTGTCACCAATACACTGGTGTCAGATACGCATTCTACCCTTTACTCTTTTATCTGTAGAACTAACATTTTTCTGCAGGTATCGGCGTATACAGAATGATTTAGGATCGCAGAACGTCTTAAATCATTCTCCGTCCCTATCGACTACTTTGACTATCGTTTTCGAAACCGACGTTTCTACAAATTCAGTCAAAGTGGGGGCTTCTGTAGACACCTAAAAATGTCTCCCCAAAACCAAACCCGATGATGAACAACCTTTCACCGTCACTATTGGTCGGTTTAGTATTTAATCCCGAAAGTGCTTAAAAAATCGTATTTTATTAAATTTATATTTTTGAACAGTCCATGGATTAGTCTTGATGTTTGGTAAAAGCATAGTTTTAATTTCAGCCCAAACTTATTAATTAATTTTAAGCCCAAACCTTTTTTATTTTATTGTTTTATTATTTATTTTTGGCCCAAACCTTTTATTTAATTATTTTCTTATTTTAGCCCGAATATTAAAAGCCAGAAAAGGCCCGAAATTATCAATCGGCACTTAAAAAGCCGAAGGAAATTAGGGTTAAAAATGTATTTAGACGGAAAATGGACTGGAAATTCCTGCGCCACGGCAGACTGCCACTGTGTCACGGGAATCCTTCCCGTCTGACGGTGGGACTTCCCGTGACACGGGAGGTCTGCCGTGACACGGGACATTCCGTGTCTTTTCCGCGTAAACCCTTGACGCGTTTTCTATCCCGTTTTCTGAAAATTTCCCGCGTCGCACCAAAAGTGTACCGTGTCACGGGAATGTGTACCGTACCGTCTGACGGTGGGGCTTCCCGTGTCACGGTACAGTTTGACCGTGTCACGGGATACTTTTTTAGGGTTTTTATCATTTTAGGGGGTTCCGTGTGCTCCCTCAGCACATTTTCCCTATAAATACCCCCCTCATTTCTGATGAACGGGGGCACCGAGTAATTCTCTGATTAATTTTCTCTCTTCTATGCTTTAGCCTAAACACTAGCCTACCCCTTTTCTACTTCAAAATTTCTTCTTCAAGTACTCAAAGGGGTCCATACTTTACTCGTGGTTCTATCCTTAAGCCAAGGCGTGAAAGTTGCAAACAAACAGAATCAAAGTAAGGATCATGCTCCTTTTATTTTTATTATTTTTCTAACGATTTTATGTTGTTGGAATTGTGATTAATTTGGTTTTAATATTAATGTTATTCTATTATTGATCACCGTATTGCATGTTTAAAGGGAATATGGAATTGAAAATCACGCCTAATAAGATAATTTGGACAATCGGTTTAGGATCCTTTTAATCTTATTATTAATTGAAGTGATCACAAATATTTTAGAATTATGTGTGCATTAATGTTCCACCAATTCAGTTAAATAATAGTTTGGAGCGAATTGAATTATTGTCTGTATGCCTTTGAGATCACAAGAATGCTTTTCAATATAAGAATCGAGTAGAGGCCAATACGGGCGAATGTGACTCCATGACTCACTTCGTACCATCATCCCCGATCATCCTTTCGTGGTTCCGAACCATATGGAGTTAGTAATCTCATGGATTATGAATGGGGTGTAACCTTCACGGGTCAATCATTGTTGCCTTCGTTGTTCCTTATTCGTGGTTGCTTTTTATGATCCGTGAACGGTTTACAAGTTTCTTAAAAACTTGTTGGCGACTCCCTACTTTCCTTGTCCCTAATCGTATTATGTCAATTCCTACTTCCTATGAGTGCCAAGCATATTCACAACATGCTTTTAACGTAGGCGCACTTCGAACGACGCCTACAGGGGATAAGTTCAATTTGGGAGGCGATTGATGGAAGGTATGGCAACTTTGGGGATATGGCTCTAGCGTGCTTTGAGCGTCTCCCGCAAAGAGAGCACGGACTCTTTATTTCGACTTGTTGGGCTATTTGGACGGCGAGGAACAAGTGGATTTTTGAAGGGGAGCCTTGTGATCCTGTGAAAGCCGTGGAATATGTGATGAAATTGATGCAAGAATTGGCCAAAGATGATTAGGGGATAAGGGTGGGAGGTGGAGCTGGAGCCGTAAAGTGGAAACCCCCTGATGTGGGGGGTGTGCAAGCTGAACGTGGACGGGGGTGTGTTGGAAGGGAGGGGTGCTTCACTTGGAGCTGTGATTAGAGATGATGGTGGCAGGGTGAAGCTTGCGGCATCCTGGCGTGGGGATGAGTGTTGGAATGCCAGCATTGCTGAGGCCAAGGCTATTCTTTGGGGACTCCAACTGGCTGTGGAGTTCGGCTTTCGCAAGGTGCAAGTGGAAAGTGACTGTCAAGGGTTAGTGACCGCAATTCGTGAGCAAGAAAGGGGAGATAGTTGTCTTCATTTAATATTAGATGATATCTATCATGTTTGTAATTCTTTTGAGTCTGTTTCTTGGAGTTTAATTCGTAGGGGTGGGAATAAAGTCGCTCATGAGCTTGCTCATAGCAACATGGGGGTGTTGGGTAGACAAGTTTGGCTTTCAAACTTTCCGAGTTGTATCACCTCTTTGGTGAACACTGATTCCCCTACTAATGACATTTAAGTAGCCTTTGGGCTGTTTTTCAAAAAAAAAAAAAAATAATAAAAAATAATAATAATAATAATAATAATAAATGGCTAAAAGGAAGATTAACATTCCTTGTAATGACATAAGGCTATATACTCTTAATTTGAACAGAACAAATAGTCAATAAAAGTATTGTATAGAAATTAGAAAGTAATTTCAAACAGACAAAATAAAAAGACAGCAGAGAAACACAGTAACTTACAACCATTAGACCTCAGAAAGAAAAGCAAGCTAAAATCTTTTTTGCCGTTTGTAATGGTGTAACATTCTTATTATGCCATCATCAAAACAAATAATTTTGTACACCAACTTTACTCCATGAATACATCACCCAAAATAAAAAATAATAAAAAAATAACATCAAGAAAAACAAGAAAATGAAAACCAAAAAGCCCTATAAATCTATACAGAGGCCAGATGGCTATATCTGAAAACCAAAATATCAATATAATAAATGGGACATATACAATTCAGTCGAAGGGGTACATCATTTGGAATCCATCGGATGTGACAGAAACCTGAATGATGGAGGAAGATCAAGGATAGGCAAGGCTCTTGAAAACTGCTGCCAATCCTGTCATATACTTGCCTTGGTGCTCTGCGAGTGCTAGCTCAGTATCAGTTCTCGAGGTATTTGAGAATCCCCTACAACCCAGCACTGCTTTGTTTCCTAGGAACAGGACATCATCTCCATACTGGAAAGGCATGGAGTAGTATTTTAGGACAGTATCTCCATAAAGGATATATGTAATTGTAGCAGTAAAGCCAAGCTTATTGATACATAAAGCCTCACATATTAAGGAATCATAGAGAGGCAGAGAAGAAAATGATAATACAAACAAAAGATCGAAGTTTTATTCAGGTAACCTACCAGCCAAATTCATCAAAAGCAGCTTCTGCACAACGTTGCTGGGCTTCTCTTCTGGTTATATTAGTTCCTTCAACAAAACAGGGCAAAATAGATTTCAAAACAAAATAGGGCAAATAGATTTCAACACATAACAGGGAAACAAGACGGGCAAAACAAAATAGGCAAAATTGAACAAAATTAAAGCATTAAAAATAGGAAAATAAAAACTAAAAAGTAGAAAAGTAGAGCAAAAAATTAACGACTACAGCCAACTTAAGTTCGGATTATTGAGGAGCTGGCATTGTTCACGGTGTATAGACAAACTATCAAAGACCTTTATAATCTCTGAACTGCTAATTACTACAAGAGAAATTATAATTCTCCTCTCCGATTTGAGCTCAGGAATGATTGGTATTTGATTAAGGATGAATAGAATATTCAATTTATCTTTCGAATTTTTAAATAATAAAAAAAAATCCATTCGATTTGAACAACCAGACTCAATAATTCTAGAGGATTTGATCGGTGTTTTTTTTTTTTTTTTTTTTAAACAAGACACAAGACTAAATGGTATAAAGTGAAACCAGTCCAACTGTCAAAGGAAAAACTAAACATACTTATTGTACACAATTCAGATGTGCAGAGGTTTAAGGGTATAATCACACAACCAAAAAAGGGGGGGGGGGACACTGCAAACTTGCATCATGATGAACTCTGGGTAGTTAAGAATTTGAGAAGCTGATTGATAAATAAACAAATAAATAAAATCCATTTAGATAAAGACTAAGGGGCTCTAATCTGCTGTACCTCCAACACTTTCTGCATAAGCTGTGGTGGAGACGTGAAGTTTTCCTCATCGCTTCTTGCTGCTTTCTTGAACCATGCGTTTGCATAACATAAGATGGTAAGAACAAGTAGCCACCCTTGTCATACTTGGACAATAATAATATAGAAGATGCCAATAATAGTATGCAAATATAATCAAATGGTATTAATGGGAAAATAGTACATCATATTCTAATAAGTTTCATACTTTTAGCTTGTTCAGGATTAATTGACAACATATCTTGTTAGAGTATATAAAATACACAATAATAAAATACCTTCTCTCCTTGTGATCAAATTCTAAGTCTCATAGTTTTTTTTTTTTTTTTTTTTTTTTTTTTTTTTTCCAGTCTATAGTCCATCCAACTTCCAAATTTGCACTATCTTTTTCAAAATAATACTATTTATCACAGCTAACTAAACTTGGAGTAATTTAGAGTAGGATGATAATCAGAGTTTTAAAAATGCTACAAAATGGCAGAAAAGAGGCATAGTTTTGTGATGGACTGGTTTAGTAGCCCGAGTCAATGCATAAAAATGAATTCTTAATTCTTTATAATCCCTTCACAGTTCAATTGATTGAAAACACGAAAAACATAACCATATGTTCTAACAAAAGCATTACCTTAGAAAATTAGTACCTTCACAATTTAGCATACTCTCTATAGCTTTACACATCCCAAGGAATAACAACAAATAAATAAGCATCCCTACAATAAATCTAATATCATCTCCAAATCAATCTATTCTTATTATATTAATCATAATGAAATAACAAGCTAGGTTCGTATGAGATTAATTAATCTTTGATGTGGCCTATTTAAAGGTTTGACACTAATATGCAAGGAGCAATATATGGGCGTGAATGCATGAACATAAATGTCACCCTATAACCTAAGTTTAAATGTTTAATCACCCGAGTCTCACATTATACCTAGCTGCTTCAAAGCTTTATCCATAAAACTTGTAGTGTCTAATTGCTTCTGCAAGGATTTTTACTTAGGACGCCTAAACCTTATTCACAATCAAAGCAAAGAATCAGTAAGGATTAGTTCTTAGTATGCTTAATTGCTTAAATAAAGCAAAAATTTTGTTTTATTTGCGAAAAAAAAAAACACTGGAAATTCAACCAGAGTACTGTAAATCAATTGTGAAAAAATTACCTAACAATTAAATCTCCTATCTTTCGAGAAAAAAAAAATCAGCAAAAAATCCAATTAAATCGAAGCAAAATTGAAAAGTAATGATGGGGAAAGAGTAAGAAACGAACCGATGAATTAACGAGACCCCAGACCTCGAATTCATTGAACTCTCTTTCAATGGCTAATTACAAAGCCACCATTACCACCGCCGTCATTAGGGTTCGCGAATTGGGGATGAGAAGGAGGAGAGAGAAAGTGGCGTACATGAATGAGCAAAAGAAGTGGACCAAGGCAGCTTAGAGTAGTGATAGACCACTAGCAGTTATGGACTCGTTGGACCCATACCAGCGGCAAAAATATATTTTCACAAAAAATTTACCCAGTAAAAATGTAGTTTCTCTCCTCTTAATAACAGTATACAAGTTAAGAATAACAGTATACAACCCAAGAATAACAATACACAAACCAATAATAACAGTATAGAAATTAGTAATAATTGAGCACCGACAAACAGGTACCGTTGTCAATTTCGACCGAACTCAACGATTCCAGCAGAGAACTCGTCGATTTTAATGGCTAATGTTGTCAATTTTGACCGAACTCAACGATTTCCAGCATAAAACTCACCGATTTTAATGGCTAGAGCCATAAGTTTGTGTCTCTCATTTTTGGGTTATGTTTTTTGGGTGGTTTTCGATGATTTTTAACGGAGGTAGTTGCAAGGTAGTAGCTGGTAGGGTGGATTTCTTGTTGTAGGAGGTGAAGGTGTGGTGGGCGGAGGTTTGGTAGACAATAGGAGCTATCCATGGAGGTGGATAAAGGGTTTAAAGGAGGAAGAAGATGAAGAAGAAAGGAAATAAAAAAGGGGGGGGGGGGAAAGAAAAAAAAATTAAAAAAATTATATGATGGTAATGGGTAGTATTACCCATACCTGATAGTGGGTAATACTTACTCGCTTAAAAGAGGGGAAAAAATGGCAATTGAAGGAAGGTGTGAAGCAGAGGAAAAGGAGGAGAAGAATGCTAATGAGAACGTGACAGAGGAGAGAGGAAGAGGAGGAAACAGGCTGACCAAAGATGAGGGACTCAGCAAATTAATTGTACCAAGGGCAAGTAAGTATTTTCACATACTAAGGGCATAACGGGGAATACACTATTGCTAAGCTACAGTAGAAGTTCTCATATTTTAGTAAGGGTTGTTATGTTATTAACTTATTATAGATTAAAAATAAATAAAGGGTTTTAGAAGAATCAGGAAACAATTCCTCACATTCTCAACGTTCAGTTCAATTCTATATTCTCTCACCTAAAAAACCCTAACCGGCGATCATCTCTCTCCCCGGCGATCATCTCTCCACCGGCGATTCTCCCCTCACCGGAATCAGTTCCCTCTCACCGGCGACTCCTCATTCATGGTTAGTGTATTTTTTCTCAATTATTGATGATTGTTTACTTGGTTGATGTTTGTATGTTGATTTTTTGAATTGTTGATGATTATTTACATGTGTTTGAGTGCATATGTATGAATTTTAGGGTTTCTTTGAATCTGTGGGTTTATGATTTTTCAATTACTTTGATTATGGGTTTTTTGTTTTTTCAATGCCCACCACCTGTTTGACGATATGCACCCCCTCAGTACTGCTTCTTTCTCTCTCTTTCCTCTTTCAATTTTTTCTGTTTCCTCAAAATTTTCAGGTTTATGTTGCATAATACTTGATGGGTTTTGCTGATTTTTGTGTATTTGTTGAAATTTTTATACTTGGATGCATTTTCTTGGAATAATGTTTGATGGGTTGTTAAAAATTTGGCTCAATTAAGGAGGTGCCTAATGAGGACCTGCATCTTATTATCCTTGTAAAAATTGCAATGACCCTTCAATTGAATGAGTTTGGGCAGGAACAACCATAGCTTAATTTTCATTGACTGATTTTGAGCTACTCAAACTTCTTAAACTAGAGGTTCGCGCGCGGTATAGATAGTATTTCAAGTTGAGTTATTGCAGTTAGTCTTAATACCTTATGCATGTTTGCATATATTTTATTATAACTATTTGTACATATGCGATTAATATGTTTAATGTCATGTATCTTAGCAATACTCAAAACTTTAGCAAATTACTTTAGAATTTTTGCAGTTAGTCTTCTGTTGTAAAAAGTATCG